CCTATATTTGGTTCTATATTCTTAAAGAGTACAATTTTCCGATTCCAAAACTATATGGTTTGTCTATATTTGATTGAGCCGGCTCCAACATATTTGGTTCTAATAATATTAAAAATACTATCAGAGAAACCAAGTAGGTACCTACCTCAAATTTTACCTGCAGTTTTCACCTGTACAGGTAGAATGGTTCACAAAATAAGATAGTACTTTCACAATTTTTGGAGCCGAATATATGAGAGCCTGTTCAATCAAATATAGACAAACTATATATTTTTGGAATCGGGGCATTATACTCTTCAAAAAAGTAGAATTAAATATAGGGCATCCTATTTGAAAAAAGCTGGGAGCATGTAAAATTTCACATTTCTGACATTCAAATTTTGTTTCTGACCATGGTTTCTAAAAATTCAGCCAAAACTGTACAACTTTTGTATTTACACCTTTCTTCTACCTGTAAAGGTAAAGGAGGTAGGTGGGGTGTCAATATATAAAAAAACACCCTGTACAAAAAAGTGGTTTATAGCGGAACTTATGGGTGAACCTCTGCGTTCAAAAAAACACTCACCTGAAACGTGTAGTTTTTGAACTAATGAGAAAAATTCATAACTAGTGAATCAGGTTAGTATTGTACTTGAACAACATATTGGTGAATAGATGGCTGGGCCCACCCATAGGTTCCGCAACAATCCACTCGTTTGTACTTGAATAACTTGTCACAATATATTACTTGTTTGGTGCAGTTACATTATCAATTCCTGTTGAAAAGCGAATTGACAAAAAGTGGATAATCTCACAAATTCTGACTTTATATAAGAAGTTATTTTTCAAGTACAAATAAGTAGATTGTTGCGGAACTTATGGGTGGACCTCTGCGGGACGAGCGCAGCGAGTTCCGCAGCCATCTACTCATCAATATACTGTTGAACTGTTCAAGTGAGACATTCACCTGAAACATGTAGTTTTTGAACTAATGAGAATAACTCACATATTGATGAATAGATGGCTGCGGAACTCGCTGCGCTCGTCCCGCAGAGGTCCACTCATAAGTTCCACAACAATCCACTCGTTTGTACTTAATAATTTGTCACAATATATTACTATTTTAGTAAAGTAACATTACTAATTCCTGTTGAAAGACGAACTGACAAAAAGTGGATAATCTGACAAATTCTGACTTTATATAATAAGTTATTGTTTAACTACAAATAAATGGATTGTTGCGGAATTTATGGGTGAACCTCTGCGGGACGAGCGCAGTGAGTTCCGCAGTCATTTACTCACCAATATACTGTTGAACTATTCAAAAAAACACTCACCTGAAACGAGTAGTTTCCGACCATGGTTTCTAAAAATTCAGCCAAAACTGTACAACTTTTGTGTTTACACCTGTAAAGGTAAAGAAGGTAGGTGGAATTTCAATATATAAAAAAACACCCTGTACAAATAAGTGGCTTATTGCGGAACTTACGGGTGGACCTCTGCGTGAATCAGGTTAGTATTGTACTTGAACAACATATTGGTGAATAGATGGCTGGGTCTACCCATAAGTTCCGCAATAATCCACTCGTTTGTGCTTGAATAATTTGTCACATTATGTTACTAGTTTGGTAAAGTAACATTATTAATTCCTGTTGAAAGGCGAATTGTCAAAAAGTGGATAATCTTACGAATTCTGACTTTACATAATAAGTTATTTTTCAAGTACAAATAAATGGATTGTTGCGGAACTTATGGGTGGACCTTTGCGGGACGAGCGCAGCGAGTTCCGCAGCCATCTACTCATGAATATACTGTTGAACTGTTTAAGTGAGACATTCACCTGAAATATGTAGTTTTTAAACTAGTGAGAATAACTCGCATATTGATGAATAGATGGCTGCGGAACTCGCTGCGCTCGTCCCGCAGAGGTCCACCCATAAGTTCTACAACAATCCACTCGTTTGTACCTAATAATTTGTCACAATATATTACTAGTTTAGTAAAGTAACATTACTTATTCCTGATGAAAGACGAATTAACAAAAAGTGGATAATCTTACAAATTCTGACTTTATATAATAAGTTATTGTTTAGGTACAAATAAGTGGATTGTTGCGGAATTTATGGGTGGACCTCTGCGGGATGAGCGCAGCGAGTTCCGCGGCCATCCACTCACCAATATACTGTTAAACTATTCAAGTAAAACATTCACCTGAAACATGTAGTTTTTAAACTAATGAGAATAACTCACATATTGATGAATGAATGGCAGAGGTCCACAACAATCCACTCGTTTGTACTTGAATAATTTGTCACAATATATTACTAGTTTGGTAAAGTAACATTACTAATTCCTGTTGAAAGGCGAATTGACAAAAAGTGGATAATTTTACAAATTCTGACTTTATATAATAAGTTATTTTTCAAGTACAAATAAGTGGATTGTTGCGGAATTTATGGGTGGACCTCTGCGGACGAGCGCAGCGAGTTCCGCAGCCATCTATTCATCAATATACTGTTGAACTGTTTAAGTGAGACTTTCACCTGGAACATGTAGTTTTTAAACTAATAAGAATAACTCACATATTGATGAATAGATGGCCGCGGAACTCGCTGCGCTCGTCTCGCAGAGGTCCACCCATAAGTTCTACAACAATCCACTCGTTTGTACCTAATAATTTTTTCACAATATATTACTAGTTTAGTAAAGTAACATTACTAATTCCTGTTGAAAGGCGAATTGACAAAAAGTTGATAATCTTACAAATTCTGACTTTATATAATAAGTTATTTTTCAAGTACAAATAAGTAGATTGTTGCGGAACTTATGGGTGGACCTCTGCGGGACGAGCGCAGCGAGTTCCGCAGCCATCTACTCATCAATATACTGTTGAACTGTTTAGTGAGACATTCACCTGAAACATGTAGTTTTTAAACTAATGAGAAAAACTCACATATTGATGAATGAATGGCAGAGGTCCACAACAATCCACTCGTTTGTACTTGAATAATTTGTCACAATATATTACTAGTTTGGTAAAGTAACATTACTAATTCCTGTTGAAAGGCGAATTGACAAAAAGTGGATAATTTTACAAATTCTGACTTTATATAATAAGTTATTTTTCAAGTACAAATAAGTGGATTGTTGCGGAATTTATGGGTGGACCTCTGCGGACGAGCGCAGCGAGTTCCGTAGCCATCTATTCATCAATATACTGTTGAACTGTTTAAGTGAGACTTTCACCTGGAACATGTAGTTTTTAAACTAATAAGAATAACTCACATATTGATGAATAGATGGCCGCGGAACTCGCTGCGCTCGTCTCGCAGAGGTCCACCCATAAGTTCTACAACAATCCACTCGTTTGTACCTAATAATTTTTTCACAATATATTACTAGTTTAGTAAAGTAACATTACTAATTCCTGTTGAAAGGCGAATTGACAAAAAGTTGATAATCTTACAAATTCTGACTTTATATAATAAGTTATTTTTCAAGTACAAATAAGTAGATTGTTGCGGAACTTATGGGTGGACCTCTGCGGGACGAGCGCAGCGAGTTCCGCAGCCATCTACTCATCAATATACTGTTGAACTGTTTAGTGAGACATTCACCTGAAACATGTAGTTTTTAAACTAGTGAGAATAACTCGCATATTGATGAATGAATGGCAGAGGTCCACAACAATCCACTCGTTTGTACTTGAATAATTTGTCACAATATATTACTAGTTTGGTAAAGTAACATTACTAATTCCTGTTGAAAGGCGAATTGACAAAAAGTGGATAATTTTACAAATTCTGACTTTATATAATAAGTTATTTTTCAAGTACAAATAAGTGGATTGTTGCGGAATTTATGGGTGGACCTCTGCGGACGAGCGCAGCGAGTTCCGCAGCCATCTACTCATCAATATACTGTTGAACTGTTTAAGTGAGACATTCACCTGGAACATGTAGTTTTTAAACTAATAAGAATAACTCACATATTGATGAATAGATGGCTGCGGAACTCGCTGCGCTCGTCCCGCAGAGGTCCACCCATAAGTTCTACAACAATCCACTCGTTTGTACCTAATAATTTGTCACAATATATTACTAGTTTAGTAAAGTAACATCACTAATTCCTGATGAAAGACGAATTGACAAAAAGTGGATAATCTTACAAATTCTGACTTTATATAATAAGGTATTGTTTAGGTACAAATAAGTGGATTGTTGCGGAATTTATGTGTGGACCTCTGCGGGATGAGCGCAGCGAGTTCCGCAGCCATCCACTCACCAATATACTGTTAAACTGTTCAAGTAAAACATTCACCTGAAACATGTAGTTTTTAAACTAATGAGAATAACTCATATTTGAGTGAGTCAGGTTAATATCGTAATTAAACAACATATTGATGAATAGATGGCTGCGGAACTCGCTGCACTCGTCCCGCAGAGGTCCACCCATAAGTTCCGTAATAATTCACTCATTTGTACTTGAATAACTTGTCACATTATGTTACTAGTTTGTTATATAATAAGTTATTGTTCAAGTACAGGATTTTTTTTTTCATTATATTGACGCCCCACCTTTACAGAAAGTTGTATAGTATAGTATATACGCATCCACAATTTAGATCATTTCAAAAGAACTGTTCCATACAAAAGTTTGGAGGGAGAACATCATTCCTTGCAAGAAATTTCCAAAGTATTTTTGTAGTAGTAGCCTTTGACACCTCAAAGTAATTCATATTATTATCAAGAAGTTGTAGCTCTTGCAAGTGATAAATTATCTTCTAATCTGTCTATAATGAAATAGAAAATTATATTAAAAAATACCATCAGCTATCATACAACGTAGGTACGATCAGTATTTATTGCATTATCAATATTATAACCAATTAAGCAATTAACTCAATTAAAAACGACAACCTGATAATTTAATACAGCAGCAACGTTACGCCGCCCGTATCGTATTTGTTAAAACAAGAACCCATCATATTAATTTTGTATTTTGTTTTTATTATTTTTCAGTGGAAATCAAGATGGTGTGTCATGCGAAAATTGTCGCCAGTTGCAGGTAATATACATAACATCTGCTCATAAGGGCCTCGAATGATTATTTTTCTCATCACTGAAAGACAATTGACAATATTATAGTTCTCGATTGCACAATACATCATTAAAAGCTTATTTCGCAATATGTATATCCTTGTTGTTTTTTTTTTATATGCAATTTGATACTTTGCCAATTGTAAAATGTAAAACGAACAGGAAGTCAGTTCGAGAAACAGTTAGAACATTATTGACGTTTATTTTATGTGTTGTAGCGAAAAAAAATCAAACCAAAAATGTCGAAAGGTGAAGACATAAAACATTAATCCGCATTAAAGAAACCCATAAAGCAAGAACCATTATGAAAATTTATACAAATTAAAACGCGCAAGAACTTTATTGAAATAAAGGAGCTTTCGCGCCCGAGAAATCTCGTTAAAGCGTCGCCCCTCCTGTGCAAGTAAAAAAAAAACTGATTAATAATCTTCCAAGTACATTATGTGCAGACTTAAGGACTTTAATTTAATGAAGTTTCGCCCCTGTGTTGTCATTTATTCCTTCTTTGAGGATATATTTTGAGTTAATCGGGCCTAAATTTAAATACGACCCCCGGGATTATGACATCGAAGAAGCATCACTTTGTTCCGCGGGACCTTAGAGCAAATTTTATTACGGGATTTGTCAATAAGTTGACGAAAATTGGTTTTTGAACCAGGTTTAGGTCCATTTTTGAGGGGGTAATTCCTGCTAATTTAATAGTTATTTATGTATCAAGGGTACTAAGTAGATGATTATGCCCTGAGGGCGACAGTCTTACAAAACCGAGGGCCTCTGGCCCGAGGGTTCGTAAGTCGCCCGAGGGTATATATATCTATTAGTACCCGTGGTGCATACAAACTTTTATGTCATACCAGTTGGTTGTTAATAATAAATACCTGAGAAAAAAGTGTCATTTCGCAAATTGTCATCAGTGGGCAAACATTATAATTTTTTGACAAAAATAATATGTTTATCAGCGTAAATTTATATTTTGTTAATAAAGAATAAGTTAATTGAAAACTGTTTTTTGCGTCTTTATGCCCGCGCGGGCCATAATGTGTACTTTATGCCCGCACGGGCATAAAGTAATGAATTATGTAGATGGTATCTAAGGTATAAAAACACAATAATGTATTGGTATGACATAAAAAATATTTTCAAAAATAGCATAATTTCCCGATGAAAAAAGTGAATCTGTTTTTCTTAATCCAGTTTTTTAGTTGTTTGTTGATTATTTTGCCTTTAAAATAAATGTGGCAGCCATCTCCAACAGCAAGAAGCCAAAAAAATGGAAATTTGAGTCCTGGAGATTAAAATTAAAATCAGAAAATCAAAATAATGTTTGTTTGTTGAGGTTAGGCATTTGCGGATCCATCCATTCGGAACAATGAACTGTTCGGAAACTAAACTAGCTCTACCTAGATAGTTTACTAATCTTTGAACAGCTGATACTGATCAAACAGATTTTAGATCAGTGTTTCCGTAAGCAGCTATTTTGATGTCACCTATGATAAGGTACTAATGATAAGGTACTAATACGGCCCTGATATGTCTAAATGAGTCTATAACAATAAATCTTACTTCATATTCCTCTAATTGTCGAAAAACGCGATAGTCGTGTGGAAGCGAAATCTAATAAATCAAAGCCCCTGGGATAATTAAGAGAGTGGCAGGATTGTTGCCTGGACACGCCCTGTATAATTTGGATATCGCGTGACCTTCGAAGATGGTTTTCGGAATATTTTTCTTTCCTAATTAATCATTACGTCTATTTCTGCCTGGTGTTAAGTGATTTATAGTTTAAGTTCAAAAGCACCATCAATATTACCATCGAGATGAGTGTGACCAGCCAATAAAAGGAAAACATAAATAAAAAAAGGTGGTTTATTAAATAATATAATAGGGACTAGACCATAAAAAATTTAATTTGACATTTAATAGGGTCCTACACGAGTTCACAACAGAAAAATTTGGGGCCGTACTACAATGGCCAAAATTAAAAGAAAGAAATGACGCTTTGTGCCCTCTTTTTGTTCGTCTTTGTTGAATAAGCCCCAGGAGATTATTTATTTCGTGTTTATATAATACCCGGCACTATAAATTTATATATTTTTTGACCCCAAGAATTTTTTTTTTTTTCAAAATCTTACTAAAATAACATATTTGTCACGATTCGATTGAACTCCCACGAAGTATATGAGGCGTGAATACACACAAAAATACAAAAAGTAAAAACAGTTGTCTCTGTGAGGGTGCAACTACTTGAAAAATAAAGGTCTAATGATGTCCCAGACAAGTCTGCAGCCTGGTACGGATTAGCTTCGTTATATTTTCAGACTTGGAAAAATTGTGTCTTTTTCATAAAGTAGTTAAAAACATTAGTTTTGTAGGTTAGTTGAGACTATTAATACAAGGTTCAGATGACTTCTTCACTGTTGTTTAATTTCTCAGTATTAAATGACGTCAAATGATCCAAAAACATTTTCCCAAAAATGTTTTGAAAAGGATCCAATTTGCAAAATCCGATCTCTTGTAGGTAGCATTTTTTTTATAGTCATTAAAACATCCTAAATTTCTTTTGACTTTTATTAGACTTGAAGTTGCTACCACATGTTTAAACGTAAGGGGTATTGGATTACATCTTTTAGCTGATGTATAGAAGTTATTGGATGAGCAATCAGAAATGTTTGTTGTCATTCAGTTGATAATTTTTTGTTGATTACCTGTTCACTCAAAAGTTGTAACGCAAAACTAAAAAGTGTACGATATAAATGAAAAATAATTTTTTTGGTTGTTACATCAATAAACGCCGTTTTCCTTCTCGCTCTATTCAAGGAAGGGGGATCGAGAAGAACGCACTCCAGACTATGCCCCCAGGCATTTTCCTTTCTTCTTGGAAAAAGAAAGAATTTTTGAACTGAAACACATTAAATAAATACGACGAAGTCTCTGATGGTAAACAACGAAAAATAAACATAACCGGTCATGTTTTTCTTTACAAAAAATACGTACAAACAGGAGATCCTAATCTGACCCAACAGAAACTCATGCCTAATTGGCCATCTTCGTCAAACCCTCTGGAGGCTGTTAAGTCCATTTGGTTAATTGATTCGCCAACACCAACTAGCCTTTGACATGTTAATTTATTTTCGCCTAAACGAGGACGATATACGAATGCACGCAAGTAAAAATTATCATGATACAAATCAGAATTAATGCATAATTATTGTTTTTAATGAGTTCTACTAATATAAATAATTTGCGGAAATAGACCGAATAGATGGTTATTAAACCGCCATTCATCAACTGTAAAAATATATCAAATTTACCACGGCCCATTCACAACACCTAAAATACCCCATAAATCTTAAAAAATTATTGACCCTCTTTCCACTTCCTTTTCAAACAAATTTTTAAGGGTATAATTTACCGGTCTTGTCATTTGACACCTCCCTTGAAGGTTAAAAAGAAAGTTTTTTTTTTTTCGAGGGTGCATGCACCACACATTTTTTTTCTTCTGACTAATTATTAGAAACCATCTGGAACAATAGTGTTTTTTTTATACTATACACGTGGATATCAAAAATACTGACGCGGCATACGAAAAAACAAAATGCATATCGGGCAGACAATGTACGGTTTGTAATTATGTGTAACACTCGATTGACCCTTGAACATCGCGAATTTGAACCTCCAATAGTGCACACACGGGCCACAGAGATAGATAAATTATGCTGTCGCGGCAACATTGCGGTAATTGGCATGAATTATTAGTATTTTGGCACTGTTGCCATTTTTATAATTATGCCTGAGCACTCAAACGAGTTTCACTAAAGATAAATGTTGCACGAAATGGACAACTCGATTTCTTTTCTACATTGTTCACACATTCTAATCGGAGCATAACATTTGGAACTTCTATTTCGAGATTCTGCAAAGTAAATACCTATGATGTACCATGGTAGATTTCTAACCTGATTCTCAATTTTGACTTTTTGGTTGGTTTGATTTGTTTGCCCTGAGGCACAGTGGAATTGCCATACGATAAGTCTCAGGGCTTCTATGGCGCTTCGGAGTGGATTTGGAAAATGTCTTTCGATTTCTGTTAGATTTGGACTTTCCTAGTCTGTAGAGTCCTGTGGTGTCGTTCTAGATTTATTCTTGTAGGTTCTCGAGCACTGGATAATCGCGTTGGATTATTCCTCTTCGTTTATGGAGCGATGTAAAGTGTATTTCAACTTCTCTGGCGAGCTTTGAAGTCACTCTGGATAAGTTTTCATGGATTATGGAGCTAAGCGGTATCAAACTGTCCTGGACTCTGGGACGATTTGGAGTTGTTTTAGAATAATTTTCGTGGCTTCTGGATTGCTTTGGAGTGAATTTGGACTCTCCTGGCTTTTGAGGCGCTGTGGAGTCGCTTTGGAGTAGTTCTAGATTCTGACGCCTTGTAGAGCAGAGCCGGCCAAAGTACTTGGAATACAAGTATGAAGTAGATATATTCAATAAATTTACTTGAAGTACAAGTAATTTACTTCAAGTAGGAACATTGAGTTTCAAGTAAAGTGGCATTACTTGAAGTAGGTATATAGAATTCAGAAAAAGTACCTTTGTAAAACCTCTTTTTTTCTATTTTTCAGTTTTGCTTAATTTTGACTTTACCAATCGATAGAGCGGGTCAAAATTAGTGAAGAACAATCCTGACATGATTTTCAAATTACCATTTTAAGCTGAAAAAAAAATAAAAAGAAAATCTTATTCTTGACTCTGGAAAATTTTCAAAATCTTGACATGGTTAGCAATTGCCCATATCTTAGGTCTATAAACCTAGCAGTCCCAAGGTGGAAAAAAACGTTAGGAACTATATAATAATTAAGTGCTTTTTAGGTGCTAATTACGGCCTCTAATTAAAAATTAGGTGCTCCTTTAGTTTTGTTTGACTATTTAAGAGCACCTAAAAAGCACCTAACTCTGATACAAAAGAAAATT